CTTTGCGGGACTGCGTAGATAATCTTGGTTGAATTTCCTCATGTTGTAGATAAGTCGGAACTTTTCCCTGGAATTTTTCTTTGGTACTAAGAAGATTGGGGAGTAAAAACCGAGCGTGATGAGCTCCCGATTTATTTCTTCTATCGCCTCCTTCTCGAGTAGAGTTGTGATGGCGTCGAATAGGTTCTCCATCTGGTCGATAGCATAGTTGTGGGCCAGAGAATTGCTCGTCAATGGTGGTACTGCTTGTAGTTGTATCTTGTATCCTCTGTGTAGGATCTGGGATACGTAGTCGTCCTGAAGAATTCCCCAATTCTCCCAGTAGCGTTGTAGACGTCCACCCACTGTTGAAGGTTGTATGGGAATGGCTGGGGGTGGAAGACTCCAGTCGTTCCGAACCCGTCCTTCAGCGTCTAAAGTTCCTGGCACCTCTGGTTGCCCTGCCTCTTCCGGGGTTACCTCTGGGAGCTCCGGTTGGGCGACGAAAAGAATCCTTGCCTCCTCTGGAGCTGCCGTATTTCTTTTCCCTGGCTCTCTGTATGCACGTAAACTCGACTTGCCGGAGTAGTGTTGCAACGTCTGACAGATAACACTGGCTAGTGTATCGATGGACTTGATCATCATTACCTCCCTTGACTCTTTCGTTACTTCCTTGGCCACGTCCTCAATTTCCCCTGCGAAGATAGATGATGCTGACCACGGAGCTCTGTATAGTGACTTGGTGAAGCGCTCACTCCAACTACAGGAAGACAGCAATCCTTGTCTTCTCAAGAGCGACAGGCCCGCTGATGTGGATGCCATATGTTCGGACATAAACTGATGATCTTTCTTTGGGTCAGCAATGCCAACTAGATCATTCTATCTTCTTCAGAATGATATACGTGAATGCTTCATTATCCTCTTTAGAAGGTGATGCAAGTTCCAATCCATTTGCCATCCAAGATTTGATCTCTGTATCGGAGATTATGAATCCGCCTTCATCTTCAGATCTAGAGGCTTCTTGTTCTGGAGATCGTTGCCGTTGTGCCTCATTCCTGCGTGGAGATCTGCATGGAGACCTGGGTGGAGACTTGCGTGGGGACCTGTGTGGAGACCTGCGTGGAGACCTGCGCGCAGACGTCCACTGGTTCGGATAACGATCCTCCCTGGAGTCTTGAGACGTATCTCTGTGTCTTCGTGAAGGTGTAGATTCTCTTCTACGGTATGCAGGGTGCCTGCGCGCAGGCTCCTGGTGGCTGTCCATATCTGAGGAGGATGATCTGTGATGCCCTGGTGAACGTCTGGCTCTGCTTCTGCGCGAAGGCTCCTCTGGAATATCTATTGCAGATTCATCATTGTCCAGGCTGGCAGGTTCTCGTGAAGTTGTCGTGGAACATCGTTGAGTGTGTGATCCTTCACGTAGGTTCCCTCCTTCACGCAGGTTACTATCTTCAGCAGGATGCGATCTGCAGGCTGCTTGTCCTTAATGCAGGCTCGTCGTAGATTGGGCCTTCGTCGCAGCTTTCTCCTTCGCGAACCTCCGTTCCATCAGGTCAACATCTGCTGAGTAATCTGTTGCATGAAGATACCCGGGTTGAAACTCAGCGACGACGGCTACTGCTGCCACTTGTGAAGACCTGCCATCTCTATCTGATGTCTGCGTTGATAGAACGTCTGACTGCGCTGTGATGACTGCTGATGTTACTGTAGACGAAGACCTCGTCTTCTTCTTCACTGCTACTTCAGGAATGAGGATGGGTGGCTCGTCATATACGTCTACTTCGTCTGAAGGGATGATCTCTGCAGCGAAGGACCTCATCTTGTGCGCTGCTCCATGGGAAGACTTCGCCGGAGTCTTATCTGCAGACGACTTCTTCTTCTGAGAAGACGATGCCCTAGTCTTCTTAGACTGAAACGAGGTTATAGTTGATGTTGACGACCTCTTCCTGGAGCCGGAGCTACCATCAGCCACAGCAACATGCTCCGTAGTAGCAACCGGTAAATCACTGGAATGGTGAATGTCAGCAGACTGCAATAAACGGTTATCAGCGCAATCACTCGGTTTAGACATGACTTGTAAAAGCCGTCTAGATCCTTGGCACGCCTAAGAATGGAATATAAATAATTATTAAATTCAATTTCAGATAAATGCTGACAAAGTTCACAGCGAAAGCTGGAAGAACATGTAGAAGTACAATTAGGACATAATAAATGCGGATCACCAACCGATCAACCGGTACCTGCAACGAATGCAAGTTTTCATCAATTGTAAAGTAGATGAAAAATCATGTCAACAACGTGAATAAACAGATAATTTAGACAAATATTTCAAACCATATTGCTGGTATATCATCCTAAATGCCATATACAGCTAATTTAGTAATAAAGGCCTAAATATAAAGGGATATAACGCCTTATAGGGGACCCAGGCGCTCTCACAACCCTCCTCTGGGGCGAAGAAGGAGAGAGTGAAGAGCATGTTGGGTCATGTGACGGACTTTCCCGCCAAAACATCTAAAGGGAGATAACACTGGGTGAGTGATTTTACGTCCGCTTTTTTTAAAGGGAGCTTTAAAAGGGGATTCAAGTGTTCCACTATCATTCGCAAGAAGAAGGAGACAAGCAATTAAGCATGAGTCAGGATAAGGAAATATATATATACATGCACTCTCAACACTGTTATATACTCTCAATATCGCAACACCGTTATATACTCTCAACACCATTATATACTCTCAATATCGCTATATACTCTCAACACCATTATATACCCTCAACACCGTTATATACTCTCAATATTGCTATATACTCTCAACACCGTTATATACTCTTAAGACAATCAGTAAAAAAAGCATTTCATGTCACTGATACCGCAGGAATTATTGCAACTATTATCTATGAAATCAATATACTCTGCATTCATTACAAATATTTACTAATTTTGAAATGAAACTTCATAGAGAAGTATCAGGGTAGATATTCAACTGATTTTGTTCACCAAAGTGAGGTATGAAGCTTGTTCATACTGAAGGGGAGTAATGGAGTTTGGTGTATTAGGTTTCCTAGAAAGCTGGACACTTGGAAGGCTAAATATTTTTGGAATTTGATATGGATTAAGAAGCTCAAGTAACAACGTGTCAGAGAAGCAGGAGCACATGCAGTCACACATCTAGACCGGAGAAATTGGCGTACTACGCGGCAAACTTAGTCGAGCTTGTATGTTTGTAACAGTTCGTTTCTCTCTGGAGAGTAATATGGGGGAATCCTCTCTATCATCTGTAGTGAGAAACATCATAGTCACCAAACATCAGCTGTAGAAGCTGACCCACACCTCCTGACCTACCAAGGTATATAAGAGACTGGAGGTTGGAATACTGTTAAAGCCCTACATGTACCCCAGACTGAATACAATTACATAGCTATTTCATACACTTATACCGATAATCTATTAGGCCTTGTACAGAGTTTGACACAGCAAATGACTGTCTCTCATAACTGTCCTACCTAGGACATGGTTATCGTAGAATACCTGTCTGTCATCTGCGGTAATTTAGCAACTATGTGTGAGTGAGTGAGTGAGTGAGTGAGTGAGTGAGTGAGTGAGTGCATGCTGCAGTCAACAGTATTCCACATACAACACAGCATGTCAGCTTATGTGTGGGAAAAACCCACAGTGATGAAGGTCTCAGATGGACATGGTTACCGTAGAATACCTGTCTGTCATCTGTGGTAGTTTAGCAACTATGTGTGAGTGAGTGAGTGCTGCAGACAACAGTATTCCACATACAACACAGCATGTCAGCTTATGTGTGGGAAAAACCCACAGTGATGAAGGTCTCAGATGGACATGGTTACCGTAGAATACCTGTCTGTCATCTGCGGTAGTTTAGCAACTATGTGTGAGTGAGTGAGTGCTGCAGACAACAGTATTCCACATACAACACAGCATGTCAGCTTATGTGTGGGAAAAACCCACAGTGATGAAGGTCTCAGATGGACATGGTTACAGTAGAATTGTCATCTGCGGTAGTTTAGCAACTATGTGTGAGTGAGTGAGTGCTGCAGACAACAGTATTACACATACAACACAGCATGTCAGCTTATGTGTGAGAAAAACCCACAGTGATGAAGGTCTCAGATGCTGACACAACTCAGTGAACCCGTCGAGCCGGGGCTGGTGCTCACTGACTTAGAAACATACTTGGAACAGGTTTCTTGTAATTGCCCAAACGATGTAATTATCAACAACACAAATTGCAACTGGGCAACTTTCCCTGTAAAATTAGAAATCACTTGTTGTTCCAGCCAGGGGACTACACAAGCCCGTGCTAGGGGGTGACCAGTCAAGCTTGCTGCTCTGTGGTGCCACTAACAAAACTCACTGTGTCTGTATGGTTAGGCAATCAGATGATGAGCAAAGACAAGCCACTGCTCATTGTGTCTGTATGGTTAGCCAATCAGATGATGAGCAAAGACAAGCCACTGCTCATTGTGTCTGCATGGTTAGCCAATCAGATGATGAACAAAGACAAGCCACTGCTCATTGTGTCTGTATGGTTAGCCAATCAGATGATGAACAAAGACAAGCCACTGCTCATTGTGTCTGCATGGTTAGCCAATCAGATGATGAGCAAAGACAAGCCACTGCTGAATACCTTGCCCCATAAGTTCACTTAAAAACCTTCTCGTTTGAATTTTGACAATTAGATGAGACTGAGATATGGAAACTGACATGATTTTTCACTGCCTGGTATGTCATTTCTTCAGAAGTTAACTTGTGTTTTTGGAATGTCAAATAAGGTAAAATTCACTCGATCATTGCCAAAGTTATAATGATCCACAACTGTCCAAATTAGCTAGCCTTGGAATGTATACACTCAATCCTGAAGCAACAGAAATGGCAACCTTTCTAAGAATAAGAACAAACATGAACCTTGGGTAGTGTACAAAGTGCTTAATGTTTATCTCAGTAAAATGCTGTCTTGAAACAAAATATCCTATGAAATTAAGTAAACCCTGACCACGGCCTCTATTTAAGCTTGGTAACTGTCCTCGTTTCTTCATTTTACTTGAGGTGAAGATTGATTGCTGCGAAGATTGACGTTGAGAGAGGAAGCCTGGGTTCATCCTGATTGGCTGCTGCATTAAAGCTGGCGCCGACGCCGAAACTAAAACATCCATAAGTAGTACAGAGATTATTATTTTACCTTTGTAATAAAAACGGTATCTAACAGAGCAAGTGATGCAAAGTTAAACTCAAGGTCATAAGTAGCCATGGTGATAAATGTTATGATGAAACCCCGACATAATGTATCATTAACTGGTGATGCTCTCAGGCTTTATGATAATATTACAACGCTTACAATACTTGGATACAATCCGTATACATGATTTCAGTGGCTCATGGACAACATTAAAACCTCACGTACCAAGTCAAATACAATATTGTAAGACTAGAAATGCAGCTGTTTTTGAGATGACTGTGAGAATTACTGGTCTCTATTAGGAATAGATTGTCCATCTTCATCTTCATTTATCAATAAATAAGTGAGAAAAAAAACCTTTATTTAATATTATATTGCTCTGGCAGCATTGCCTTGAGACTAATCATGATTGTTTCTGATCTTTGAGATAAAGAGGTATCCTCCAGATTGGACCTCTACACACTCAGAATACCTGAGATGAAGGATGTCAACAGAACTACAGGAACTGAACATCAAATCTTTCACCAGGACCCGTCTGTCTCAAGGTACTGGTATCTAGCATATCAGAGTTTTCACCAATTCTAGTTCCACTAAGTATAGACACTATTTATATGACTGAACAACTATCACAACCAATTACCATGTTTAAGACAATTAGTTTACAGGTCAAAATGAGTGGAATATGATTTGTTTCTTAAATTTGCAATAATTGTCAACAGGATCTTCAAGACTCTCAGGACACAAAACAAAATCATGCAGGACATTTTGAACACTGCTCTACTTTAGTATGTGAGTACTAACTACCTAGTTTCTGTGAGTTAAGATCTCATAAGGCTATGTTTAGTCACAAAGTGCAAAATAAGTATTAGCTATTAAGTTATGATGGCTCCTTCAATGCTATACTCCTCATAAACATTTAAGCAACAAGTATTTTCAGTGTAATATCTTTATCAATCTCGATAGCGATTATTGCCGGCATGTTACTGAAAGGGAAATATTCAAAGAATACATAACCTTTAGTGACTGTCAAATTGATTTATCTGATAACATTGACAACATCATCCGAACACAACCATCCAATGCAGCACATTTTGCATGACTGTTTCACGGGTACATAGTTTTGATGATTTGTAAGTCTATTATTGCTCATACCATTTCAGTTCATTTTGTTAATCGTGTGTACATATGTTTCACCTTTCTATTGCATCATTCCATGATTTGCAATTTAAATAAATGAAAATGTAATGAGACTAAAAATTGTGCTGCTTAATTTTTTGTGAGGAGTATATTTATAAGTTTTTTGTATCAAAACAAATGGTAAAGTTGATGTTTGTCATTATTTTGTTTGTTATTGTATCTATCGATACTATTGATATCATCTTCAATGAGACAACAGCCTTAGAAACTTATCAAGACTACAAAAATGTCTACTATGTTCACAATTTCTGGGGTTTTCTCTAGTTTCATTGTTGCAAAAGTGAACCACTGAGGATATACAGTAGAACACGGATATAACGAACTCCAAGGGACCAAGAAATTTAGTTCGCTATATCCGTTGTTCGTTATTCACATTTGACCGCCATCTTGGATTGTAGAGATGTAGACATTCACAGACATTACCTATATCATGTTGATAAATATGAAGTTTACTTTTATGATGAAATTGAAATAATACAACTACAACTTAAATAAATTGATTTTTTAATGAAAATGCACGCTTACATTTATAATGTCCAGATAAACCACGAAAGAAGCAAAAAACTGTAGCGATTTTTTTTCCATTTGTGACATGTCATAACATGCCCGTGCCTTTTTCTTTTATATTTTCATTTTTATGTATTCAGGCTTTCCGTTCGTTAACATGACACAACAACGGGAAATACCTCCGTTTTCGAAGCTTCGTATGAATAACATGCGAGGTGAGGTATCGTTAGACAGCTCTGAAACATCAACAATATCACTGTACCCTTGCCGAGAGTATTTTCACAGTTGTAAAGAGCGATTTTATTGGATAAAGATTGGTTTCTAATGACGCTTTTTCGCCACAGTCTGCTATAAGGATCGTGATTGGTCAAATTTAGACACGTGACCTAAGGCAGCCAATCATACTACGGCAATGGAAATAACGTTGTAGCCGATTATTCGGCCTGCAATGTTGAATGGGTTAAACACGATATGTTTGTTTTGTTAATTAATTAATGACCATCAAACAATGTTGATTCACCGCCAACAAGATTGATGTATACCGCTAAGTGGCTGAGCTGACACTGAGTGAGTTCGCTAATCACGTCGTTAATTGGGTCTTGGGGTAGTAAATCAGTTCGCTATAGCCGTTAATTCGCTACTCACGAGTTCGTTATTCACGTATAATTTTAATGATATTATAAAGGACTGTTGACGGGACTTTTAAATTTGTTCGCTATATCCGTTTGTACGCTATATCCGTGTTCGCTATAACCGTGTTCTACTGTATATTGCTACACTATATGAGTTACCTGCCCGCTGCCCTGGACAAAGGTGAACACATAAATAATGTCAACTGACGATGCAAAATACATGGCTTAAATACACTTGGGCATTGTCAACATGAACATGCGTTAACATAACTACATTTGAGTGTTAACACACACTGACGACACAAAGTGTTTACACACTGATGGATGACACACATTTGAGTGCTCACAAAAACTGATGACACACAATAAAGCGTTTACACAGATGCATGACACACATTTGATTATTTACAGTGACCAACAACACATAGTAAAGTGCTTTCACAGATGTACGACACACATTTGAGTGTTTACACTGACTGACAACACACAGTAAAGTGTTTACACAGATGGACGACACACATTTGAGTGTTTACACTGACTGACAACACATAGTAAAGCTTTACACAGATGGACGACACGCATTTGAGTGTTTACACTGACTGACAACACATAGTAAAGCTTTACACTGATAGACGACACACATTTGTGTGTTTACACTGACTGACAACACATAGTAAAGCATTACACTGATGGATTACACATTTGAGTGTGTACAGTCTGACGACACATAGTTGTTTGAGGGTGTAACTTAGGGTACATACTTTCCTCAGTAATGTCGTATGGTTGCCCTCTCGGGTTGACAGAACCATGGCTCCTGAAAGTAGAATTCCCCTAGTAAGGTTCCACATCATATTGTGTCCAGTGACATGGACTATAAGTGACAACCTATTACCATGTACATAGTGATGTTAGACACACTACCTGGTGAAGAGGACTGGTGAACTTTGTATTGTAAATGTTGCACTATTCTGCTTCCTTACCACAAAGAAGTGTATCTAGCAGGCTGCATCAACACTGGCCTTTACTGTAGGAAAGCATGTTCAAATCAAACATTGTTTCCAACACTTTTTTTTCAATACTGAAGTATGTTTAAATCAAGACAATGAAAAGTGATTCAAAGATTCATAAAGACATAATTTTAAGAAATATATTTTGCAATTGGCTGGGATCATTACATTTACATAACTCTGGTTTTAATCAGACAATGATGTTCAAAACACATACTTCATATTCTGAATGAATACAGCTTAACCAGGCAAATTCAGATATTCATTAATATTGAATAATTTTCTCAACCACACTAAATATACAGACTCCGAATGATGTATTCTAAAATCTGCCTGGACATCTTGCACTGACACACTCCTGCCATATATTTGGACATTGTGACTTCTGATACTTCCACCATGGAATGAGAGAGTGATGATGAATAGAACCCATATGCACAGTGGAAGCACACTATGGTTTACTGAGTGTAGTTTAGTGCACATCAGTTTAGTCTGTTTGCTGTGGGTCTTGGTCTTCCTGTCGCAGCAGGACAACCATTGTTAGTTGCCATGACTTCTGTAAACTAGCTGTATGTCAGTGCTAAGTTTATTCTAAGTTTGGCTAATTTATCATAATGGTTATCATTACTAGTAGAAAAGACTTTCTCTCTCCAGTTTAATGACAAGGTGAGCAGTTGTTTGCAATGGGATGTGGAAAGATAAAGATTCTTAAAGATGTTTCTCTAATATCTCTGTGCAATGGATTGCACTTACTTAACTAAGGAACACTTTGGCTTGATGTTTAACATAAAATATTATTCCCATGTTATGATGTTACTCAAAGGTTGTACTTTCTTTTCAAGTAGTAGAAAATATTGTCATTTCTTCAGACAGTCTCATATTGAGTTTTGCCTTAAAATATTCTCAGTACTTCCGTAAAGCACTGTATGAAGTGTGACAAAACCATGTGATTTTGTAGGAATTGAAACTACTGATGGCTCGTAACTCCACATAGTACACTGTGGTCAGACAAAACGAAACAGACCATGGACTCTCTGATCTAGAAATGCACCAATACCCAACCAAAATTTAACACTTACATTTTAGTTTTCAAATCCAACCAAAAGTCAATGTTATTTTAACGCTGAAGCTCAACATTGTTCCAATACACTGATATCTGATGCTGAATCAACAGAACGTTTTTAAAGTCATTTTTATCTTTCAAATCCAATGTCAGTGTTTCAAACCTGAGATCTCATGTTGATTCAATATTGACATTTCAACATCATCACAACTTTCAGTTTCAACCAAGAATGAATGTCATGTCAACATCGGAGCACAACACTGAATCAACATGGTTGTGTCTGCTGGCCAGTGATCACAGTCAGTCTCCAGTATAACTTTTCTCTATTCTGTAAGTTACTCTGGCAGACGAAACCATATCCATGGAAGAGGTCCTTGGCATTATTTACTCTTTGGTGTGTATGCATGGGTATGAAAGTATGAAAGAATGATTGATACTTTCATTTTATATATTTGAACATTATTATGACTATATACTTTATATGATTATTTTTCTTTTGTATTCATTTATTTAATTATTTGTTTATTATATATTTATTCAATTATTTATTCAATTATTTATTTTTTACTTATCTATTATCTTTTCAAAGTTTTCATGTCCTGTATGACATATGATTATATAATATTGATAATAACAATAACATGTAATATGTCTACAGAATAACATGTTGAACTTCCAACCCCACCCCAACAAAAAAACAAAAAAACAAACATTGAAGAACAACACTGAATCAATATGGTTGTGCCCGCTGGCCAGTGATCACAGACAGTTTCCAATTTAACTTACTCTGGCAGACGAAACCCACGTCCATGGAAGAGGTCTTTGGCATTCTGAGGCAAGACCAGAGACTTCAACTTCTGGATCTCTCTTGCAATGTCAAATCTGGAATATCAAATTATTAGGTTTAACGATTGAGTGTGTAGTGGTGAGCGGTGGGTTTCAGTGCAAGTGTCGGCAATACTACAGCTGACAAACACAAAGCTAAGGTTGCTTTGTACAAATGCACCCAGGCCTTCAGTATTACTACAGGTAGATAAAGGCCACAGGTGAAGTGAATGAGTGAGTGAGTATGGTTTTACCCCGCTTTTAGCAATATTCCAGCAATATCACGGTGGGGTACACCAGAAATAGGCTTCACACATTGTATCCACATAGGGGATTGAACCCGGGTCTTGGCGTGACAAGCTAATGCTTTAACAATGAGGCTACCCCACCACCCCCACATGTGAAGTACATGTACTCAGGCCTACATTATAAAGGCCAAATTATTAATAGAAATTCCAGCAAGGTAACTTTAACTCAAAGATTGATAAATACAGGGACTTTGCAGCATTTAATTGCTGTTGACCAAGGAAGGGCTTTTCAAGTTGCCTTCAAATGTTTTAGTTCATCGTTTAGTTGGAGGCAAAACAATGGTTTCTGATTGAACATGGTACAGTGAACTGTTGTTACTTGACTCCATCACTTTATGTCACAATCTACTGCAGCACACTTGGTACCGGAAGCCAGCACACAGCCTACACATTTCAATAAGTTTGGCCCTTATGACAAAAATAGATGGCCACTAAAGAAACAGGAAATCCTGAACAAATACATGTTGATCAAAGTCTAATTACAAAGCCTATTTCACAAGTATTTATAGATATGGCTACCTCTCTTCCATTTCAATCTTCTTGCCGCCCATGACAAGGTCCAGCTGGGCTCGGTGAGGCAGCACCTCTCGTCTCCGCTTCACTCCGCGGAGTTTCTCCATGTACAGCAGCTCTGCCAGCAGACGATCTCGCTGGCTCATCCTGCACAGTCACATACAGTCACATGAACAGTCACATACAGTCACAAACCCTGTCACATACAGTCACAAACCCTGTCACATACAGTCACAAACCCTGTCACATAGTCACAAACCCTGTCACATACAGTCACAAACCCTGTCACATACAGTCACAAACCCTGTCACATACAGTCACACAGTCACAAACCCTGTCACATACAGTCACAAACCCTGTCACATAGTCACAAACCCTGTCACATACAGTCACAAACCCTGTCACATACAGTCACAAACCCTGTCACATACAGTCACACAGTCACAAACCCTGTCACATACAGTCACAAACCCTGTCACACAGTCACAAACCCTGTCACATAGTCACAAACCCTGTCACATAAACAGTTACATAGTCACAATTAAACCCTGTCACATAGCCACAAACCCTGTCACATACACAGTTACATATAGTCACATACACAGTTACATATAGTCACATACACAGTTACATATAGTCACATACACAGTTACATATAGTCACATACACAGTTAAATGTAGTCACATACACAGTAAAATATAGTCACATACACAGTTACATAGTCACAATTAAACCCTGTCACGTAGTCACAAACCCTGTCACGTAGTCACAAACCCTGTCACATATAGTCACAAACCCTGTCACATATAGTCACAAACCCTGTCACAGTTACAGTCACAATTAAACCCTGTCACATAGTCACAAACCCTGTCACATAAACAGTTACATAGTCACAATTAAACCCTGTCACATAGTCACAATCCCTGTCACATATAGTCACAAACCCTGTCACATATAGTCACAAACCCTGTCACATATAGTCACAAACCCTGTCACAGTTACATAGTCACAATTAAACCCTGTCACATAGTCACAAACCCTGTCACATAAACAGTTACATAGTCACAATTAAACCCTGTCACAGTCACAAACCCTGTCACCTACACAGTTACATATAGTCACATACACAGTTAGATATAGTCACATACACAGTTACATATAGTCACATACACAGTTACATAGTCACATATTCAGTCACATACACAGTTACATACACAGTTACATATAGTCACATACACAGTCACATACCCTTGTCATCTATAGTCACATACACAGTCACATACCCTAGTCATCTATACAGTCACATACACAGTCGTATCATCAACATGATATTCAACATTGTAAATATATTCCATACCTAGCACCAATGATATATCTATACAATTCCACAAAACCGTGAGTTTAACATAATTAGTGTGTTAAGCTGCCATATATGTAAACAGGGTTTTCTGGAGAAATGTACTTAGTTTATAACTTACAGCAATATCTGTTGGTGTACTGAAATACTACAGTAATAAACTACTAAGTCTTGTGGGAGTAACAGTAGATTTTCATATACATATCACAGTATTGGTACACTAATATGAAATGCATGTATTTGGTCTGTGAAGGTCTTGGTTAGAACTATTCTTCATTAACCCATGCTTGTCGTAAGAGGCATCTAACGGTATCGGGTGGTCAGGCTCGCTGACTTGGTTGACACATATTATTGTATTCCAAATGCGTAGATCGATGCTCATGCTGTTGATCACTGAATTGTCTGGTCAAGACTTGATTATTTACACACCGCCACGATATAGCTGGAATATTGCTGAGTGTGGTGTAAAACTAAACTCACTCACTCAGTGTGTGTTTGTGTGTATGCGTGTGTCCAAGTGCGTGCGCACGCATGACAAAATATGTCTGCTTGCATGTGCATATAATATACAATCTACTTATATTTAGTTGTCACTTAACAATGGACAGTCACACACCCATTCGCAAATAGTCACATACCCAGTCACATAAACGGTCACATACAGTCATATATTTTATATTAATATTTTTTTATCTATAATGTTGACTTGAAAAGAATATTGTAAGACAAATTTACACATATAAAAACCATGAAAAAAAGCACAATATGAACCTAAATATGTTTGTTAACTGATCTTATCAGTAAACATTAATATATCATAAAAACTAACAGAATTTATAAACATACCCATCCAGAGGTTGAAAAGAGGCCCACTGCAAAGAAGAGAAAGTGGTCAGGAAACATGTACACCTAGTTGAAGTAAACTCTGACTGTGAAGTATAGTTCGTATCTAACACAGCTCTCCTTCATTATACATAGCTCAAAACAGTTGAGAGGAGTTTCAAGGTCTGCTAATGGTTGTTTTGCATGCAGCCTTTAAACTTTTTGTTTGAAAAACAAGAGAGACATACAGCAATGGTGTGAGACAGCATAAGTAAATATTTACATTACTAAATTAAATGGTATGTAAAAACACAAATTAAATATCTGGTTATTTGAACCACAAAATTTGAACATACAAAAAAAGATATTCTGCACAATGTGCCTGCAAAGGGAAACAGATTTTGGAAACCAAGATGAAACTCTGCCCTCTATCTCATGAGTGCCTCTATATACGTATGCTTTCTTTATGTAAGTGGACACGTGGTTTTAGTCTCTGTTTGACAGAGGACATGACTTCTGGCACAATCCACTCAACATATTGTGTCATCTTAGCAGCAACACCTTCAGCCTACCTGGTATCTGTCTGTGTGAAGAATGACGCCACGTCGCCCAGTGACGTTGTACTCCATTCCTCCAAAAGTGTCTAAATGACGCTTTGGAACAGCTATTTTCTTCAACACTGTGGATGACCTTGAAGGTAATGGTAAACCCATAAATAGTCAAATGTATTAAATGAGAGACAAATATTAGCAACAAAGCTGCTGTGTGAAGCAACATTGTGAGAGGTGTGACAAGCTATCTGCTAGAGGCTCAGAGGTGTATATCAGTAAAACACCCACTTCCTCAATATGTACAAACCAACCACCCCATTGTATGCACTTAACGAAACACATAAACTGATAACAACTTACATGAAGTTCTGAGGTAGGAAGGGAACAGATTCAGGATTCACATCCAAGTCTATTTCATCCTGAGCCTTGCTTCGTGCATTCAGGGGCTGGATCTGGAGGAGAACGTACACTGCATGAAGGATACTGACAGTTGAACAGGAACATGAACCACATCACCAAACCATGTAGTCTGTTCTGGATCTAGAGGAGAATGTACACTGCATGAAGGATATTGACATGAACTACATCACCAGACCATGTAGTCTGTTCTGGATCTAGAGGAGAACAAACACAGCATGGAGGATACTGACAGTTGAACAGGAACATGAACTACATCACCAGACCATGTAGTCTGTTCTGGATCTAGAGGAGAACATACACAGCATGGAGGATACTGACATGAACTACATCACCAGACCATGTAGTCTGTTCTGGATCTAGAGGAGAACAAACACAGCATGGAGGATACTGACATGAACTACATCACCAGACCATGTAGTCTGTTCTGGATCTAGAGGAGAACATACACAGCATGGAGGATACTGACATGAACTACATCACCAAACCATGTAGTCTGTTCTGGATCTAGAGGAGAATGTACAAGGCATGGAGGATACTGACATGAACTACATCACCAGACCATGTAGTCTGTTCTGGATCTAGAGGAGAACAAACACAGCATGGAGGATACTGACAGTTGAACAGGAACATGAACTACATCACCAGACCATGTAGTCTGTTCTGGATCTAGAGGAGAATGTACACTGCATGAAGGATACTGACATGAACTACATCACCAGACCATGTAGTCTGTTCTGGATCTAGAGGAGAACATACACGGCATGAAGCATACTGACATGAACCACATCACCAGACCATGTAGTCTGTTCTGGATCTAGAGGAGAATGTACAAGGCATGAAGGATACTGACATGAACTACATCACCAGACCATGTAGTCTGTTCTGGATCTAGAGGAGAACATACACGGTATGGAGAATACTGACAGTTGAACAGGAACATGAACTACATCACCAGACCATGTAGTCTGTTCTGGATCTAGAGGAGAATGTACACTGCATGAAGGATACTGACATGAACTACATCACCAGACCATGTAGTCTGTTCTGGATCTAGAGGAGAATGTACACTGCATGAAGGATACTGACATGAACTACATCACTAGACCATGTAGTCTGTTCTGGATCTAGAGGAGAACATACACGGCATGGAGGATACTGACATGAACCACATCACTAGACCATGTAGTCTGTTCTGAATCTAGAGGAGAATGTACACTGCATGAAGGATACTGACATGAACTACATCACCAGACCATGTAGTCTGTTCTGGATCTAGAGGAGAACATACACGGCATGGAGGATACTGACAGTTGAACAGGAACATGAACTACATCACAAGACCATGTAGTCTGTTCTGGATCTAGAGGAGAACATACACAGCATGGAGGATACTGACAGTTGAACAGGAACATGAACCACAACGCCAGACCATGTAGTCTGTTCTGGATCTGGAGGAGAACATACACAGCATGGAGGATACTGACAGTTGAACAGGAACATGAACTATATCACCAGACCATGTAGTCTGTTCTGGATCTAGAGGAGAACCTACACAGCATGGAGGATACTGACAGTTGAACAGGAACATGAACTATATCACCAGACCATGTAGTCTGTTCTGGATCTAGAGGAGAACATACACGGCATGGAGGATACTGACATGAACTACATCACCAGACCATGTAGTCTGTTCTGCATCTAGAGGAGAATGTACACTGCATGAAGGATACTGACATGAACTACATCACCAGACCATGTAGTCTGTTCTGGATCTAGAGGAGAATGTACACTGCATGAAGGATACTGACATGAACTACATCACCAGACCATGTAGTCTGTTCTGGATCTAGAGGAGAACATACACAGCATGAAGGATACTGACAGTTGAACAGGAACATGAACTACATCACTACACAGCATGAAGGATACTGACAGTTGAACAGGAACATGAACTACATCACCAGACCATGTAGTCTGTTCTGGATCTAGAGGAGAATGTACACGGCATGAAGGATACTGACATGAGCTACATCACCAGACCATGTAGTCTGTTCTGGATCTAGAGGAGAACATACACAGCATGAAGGATACTGATAGTTGAACAGGAACATGAACTACATCACCAGACCATGTAGTCTGTTCTGGATCTAGAGGAGAACATACACGGCATGGAGGATACTGACATGAACCACATCACCAGACCATGTAGTCTGTTCTGGATCTAGAGGAGAACATACACGGCATGGAGGATACTGACAGTTGAACAGGAACATGAACCACATCACCAGACCATGTAGTCTGTTCTGAATCTAGAGGAGAATGTACACTGCATGAAGGATACTGACATGAACTACATCACCAAACCATGTAGTCTGTTCTGGATCTAGAGGAGAACATACACGGCATGAAGGATACTGACATGAACCACATCACCAAACCATGTAGTCTGTTCTGGATCTGGAGGAGAATGTACACGGCATGAAGGATACTGACATGAGCTACATCACCAGACCATGTAGTCTGTTCTGGATCTAGAGGAGAACATACATGGCATGAAGGATACTGACAGTTAAACAGGAACATGAACTACATCACCAGACCATGTAGTCTGTTCTGGATCTAGAGGAGAACATACACGGCATGGAAGATACTGACATGAACCACATCACCAGACCATGTAGTCTGTTCTGGATCTGGAGGAGAATGTACACTGCATGAAGGATACTGACATGAACTACATCACCAGACCATGTAGTCTGTTCTGGATCTAGAGGAGAATGTACACTGCATGAAGGATACTGACATGAACCACATCACCAGACCATGTAGTCTGTTCTGGATCTGGAGGAGAATGTACAAGGCATGAAGGATACTGACATGAACTACATCACCAGACCATGTAGTCTGTTCTGGATCTAGAGGAGAACATACACAGCATGGAGGATACTGACATGAACCACATCACCAGACCATGTAGTCTGTTCTGGATCTAGAGGAGAATGTACACTGCATGAAGGATACTGACATGAACCACATCACCAGACCATGTAGTCTGTTCTGGATCTAGAGGAGATCATACACGGCATGGAGAATACTGACAGTTGAACAGGAACATGAACTACATCACCAGACCATGTAGTCTGTTCTGGATCTATAGGAGAACATACACGGCATGGAGGATACTGACATGAACTACATCACCAGACCATGTAGTCTGTTCTGGATCTAGAGGAGAATGTACACTGCATGAAGGATACTGACAGTTGAACAGGAACATGAACGCAATCACCAGACCATGTAGTCTGTTCTGGATCAACAGCAGAACATACACGGCATGAAGGATACTGACAGTTGAACAGGAACATGAACCACATCACCAAACCATGTAGTCTGTTCCTTGCTGAGTCAGCCAATGACATCACTCTCAGAACTGGAACACCAATTTCAGTTGACAAACAATCTTAATGTCTTGTGCAGTATCTGACAATGCTGCAGTGTGTCTGGTCCATTCTACATGGATCACATGAAGTGGACAACATAGTGCCTTACTTCGAAACCACTTGCACATGCTCAGCCTTATTACTTCAACCACAAACTTCATTATAGACACAAACAGGACACAAAGTTAAATATTTATTGGGCTTGGCTTGATTTACTGGACAATATTATGATGCATATCCAGTACATATCTTGGAGCCAGTATCTCCGTGATCATCATACTAGAATCAACTCTGGCCAACTTCTCTTGAATAACCCACACTGAAAATCTACTAATGAAAGGATAGTAAATATACCTGTAACCATACCATATATCTACTGAATTAAACTTTATCTGTTAAAATATTTTGTAAGTACAAAGATAAAACTGTTTCATGCTTTTGTCTCAATGAATAAATAGCTGACAAAGATAAAAATATCGTTCATGCTCATTTCAACGCATTTTCAAAATATTGATGATAATTATTATAGCACTACACTTACTGTGGCAAGTTAATTTCGGTTTCTACTGTGTATGTATCGATCATAAGGATCTGGTGTATATATCTATCATAAGGATCTCAGGTGTTTTAGTCTACTTAACTAGGCATTTATCATTTGGTTGTACATCTGTAATATATGCAATGTTATTAATATACCGGGTACTGTATACCTAGCACCAATGATACATCTATACAATTCCACAAAACAGTTTAACATAATTAGTGTGTTAAGCTGCCATATTTGTAAACAGGGTTTTCTGGAGAAATGTACATAGTTTATAACTTACAGCAATGACTGTTGGTGTACCGAAATACTACAGTAATAAACTACTAAGTCTTGTGGGACTAACAGTAGATTTTCATATACATATCACAGTATTGTGGAGTGCACACTAATATGGAGTGCATATATTAGGTTTAGATTACTTTGGATATGTCCGTGTGTGTGTGCAGGTGCGTGAGAAAATATATGTCTGCGTGTGTGTGCATATAATATACATTTGACTTAGTTGTGTAATTCTACTACTAGAGATAGGAGGCAGACATAGATGTCTGGCTTACTGGAGGCTTCACTGAGGGTAGCCTGCATTATTGATATGAGGTTGGTTCTTATGCTGCAATATATATATTTGTATATGTATGTACTTATTATGATTTGATATGTATTTTATATTATAGATTTTTATCTGTTAAACCATACCAGTGTCTGTGATGCCCAAAGAACTTTAATGTGTTATTGTAGTGTACAATCTATGGTAGGATAAAGTAATGCTGATAGTATACAGTATAACATGTAAGTAATATTGTAATGTGTTATTGTAGTGTATAATCTATGCTAGGATAAAGTAATGCTGATAGTATACAGTATGACATGTAAGTTATATTGTAATGTGTTACTGTAGTGTATAATCTATGCTAGGATAAAGTAATGCTGATAGTGTACAGTATAACATGTAAGTAATATTGTAATGTGTTATTGTAGTGTATAATCTATGCTAGGATAAAGTAATGCTGATAGTATACAGTATAACATGTAAGTAATATTGTAATGT